GTGTACATCACACACACACACTCGTACAGTTAACTTTAATGTAACAGATATCTGCATCCATTGGATGTTGTGTTTGGAATCACCAGCTTCGTTTTAAGGTGGTAAAACAAATTGTATTTATTCCTTTCTACACACTTTGCAGATTATTTTTTCTGCACTCCACCTGTTTAATCTGTGCACGCTCCGGCGGGGTGACAATCATTATAGTCGCGTTTTGGAGTGCGCGCGCATTTGGCCGTGCGTCGTCGCGCTATGACCGCAGGAGAAACGAGGTCCAGAATGATTTTTGTGCGTCCCACCTGAGCACTGACTTCACCTGCACTGACTTCACCTGCACTGACAGTCGCCTCGCTGCGTGGAAATGAACGGAGAGCGAGCGACGTTGCCTCCCGTGAGTCGAGCCCTTCATACATGCCGCGGCGCGCGCTCCTCCCGCAGCAGGCAGTGTGGTCGGTTGGCATCCGAGCGGAGGATGCACCGTCACGTAAACATGTAAACAGTTCAGCGTTCATTTTCACACACCTGAACCAGGTCTGGATAAGTTTTTTCCTCCTCTTCATTTGCGCTCTCAGCCACGCTTCCTGTTTTGACTCCATCTGGTTACATCATCAAAAACAATTGCGCGGTTGGCCGGTAGACTACAGATCTCTATCATAGGACAAATTTATATCGTTTCTACTGTATATCGTTTATATCGCGCATTCCTACAACATACTGACGAGGCTCGAGGAAAAATACTCCTGATTCTTTTTCAAATGGATATTCAGGTCATTTCTGAAGTCATGTTCTGTCAGTTATAAATGTTAATTCATCATTAAAGCATCTTTCACACACAAAGTTACACCAGATAAAACCAAACAAGCTGCTGACAGAGCCCAGTTTTACTTAAAGGACACAGATATATCAGCATGTGTAGTTGTGAGGGGCACACTTTGATCCTGAGCCTCTCAGACCTAAAAACCCCACTGTGCTCCGTGCTGTGGTAGAAAACACCTTTCTGTGCCTTTGTGTTGAGGTTTCTGTTAAGTGTCAAAGTTTTTATTGAACAAAACATTCAACACAAATATAGAATCAGTGCTCTTTCAATATATTGTAGTTTCATGAGATGTAACTATTTAACAATAACATGATTGGCTGGTCTTTAATGGAGTCGAGACAAAGACTGCTGCTCTTTGGCTCATTCACAGCTGGTCGGACTGCAGGGAGTGAAATAAATATGAAATAAAAACAATGGGTGGGTTTACTGGTAACTGTCTGACCCAAAGTGGCTTCAGGACTGAGCAGCCCGTTCCCTCACAGTCCCACATTAAACACATGCAGCTTTATGGGGAAGGAGAACAAATCAGTTAATGGAGTCACCATAGTTGAAGTAATCTATCCTGGGTCCTGGTCCTGGTCCCAGTCCTGGGCCTGGGCCTAGTCCTAGTCCTGGTCCTCCTCCTCCTCCTCCTCCTCCTCCTGCAGAGTAATCTTCTGAGGTGTTAGGCTTGGATCGAGGCTCAGCCAGGATGGCCCTGTAAGCTGCAAACAACAAACACATGTTGACAAAGTGATGAAAACAACAACAGAGCTTCAGCTGTGGAAACAGACTTGTTGTTGTTATTATCATCAACATCATTACTAATATATAATAATAATTATTATTATCATTATTACTTATTAATAATAATAATAATAATAATAATAATAATAATAATAATAATAATAATAATAATAATAATAATAATAATCATCATCATCATCATCATCATCATCATCATCATCATCATCATCATCATCCAGACTCCAGAAAAGCTGTGGCTCCCTGAAGGTAAATCAGAGGGCAGTGCTGTTTGGCACTAACTCACATTTGTCACAGTTCTCTATGGCGAAGGCAGCTTGGGAGGGCTTGTGGTACCTGACGTAGCCGAGTCCTTTACTTTCACCTGTGGTCCTGTTTTTGATGATGACACAGTACTCAATGTCTCCATACTCCTGTAAAACAAACAGCCCAGCAGAAGTGAGAAAAAGACTCATTTTATCATCACAAGCAGCCAGGACTCATCTGTGTGTCTGTTTGTTTCATCATCTGTTAGCAAAATCTCTCCTGAACCACTGGACAGATTTTAATGGAGTTCTCATGAGGAGTTAATTTATTAGCACAGCTGCTACAAGTGACTGACCTTCGCAAACACAAACAGCTACAGTTCAGTTCATTTTACAGATAACTGGGGTGGTAGTAGCTGAGAGTCACCCCAACACTTATCCTTTTAAAAATCTTTAGTGCTCATGGTGGCAGACGACGTGTTGATGTGAGAAGAGACAGTTAGATCTAACCTGTTGTTCAGGCTCAGAGTGTGTGTGTACTTGTTTTTACTACAGAGTGAGGACCATTTGCACCATAGTTATTATCAAAGTGAGGATCTCTTCAGTGTCCTCACTTTGTTTGCAGCTCTGCTGTGCTTTACTAGTTAGGTTTAGAGGTTTGGTGTAAATTAAAGGCACAGTGTGTAGGAATTTTGTCAATTCTTTTAGACAATAATAAAAATAATAAAAAACATGTCTAATCGTTGCAAAGACCTTGTTTTATTATTTTTACCTTATAAAAAGCTGCTTATATCTCCATGGTCGCGGGTCGCCACTACAGGCAGCCGCCATCTTGTCTACGAAGGCTCATGAAGGACAAACTGCGGTGGCGGCGTCAAAAACGGTTTTAGTTGTAATACTATAAATAGGCCTGTCGCGATAATCAATAAATCAATTAATTGCACGATAAGTTATTATGAGGTCATTAAAAAAATGAGGAGGATAAGTTTCATTTTCCTGCTTGTTTGTTTACTTCGTCTCTCTCCCTCTCTGTGCTCCGCTGCACAGGAGCTCAGCTGACCCCTCCCCTCCTGTTTTCTTAGTGTGGGAGGAGTCAACTCTTGCGTTAGCGTGAGAGCTCGTTGCAATAACAAACTAAAGAAACATTTCAAAGCAGAACGCGGCTGCTGCAGTGTCGGAGCAATGGCAGAGCCTAAATTTCGCTGCAGGGAGACACACAGAGAGAGGAGGAGAAGGGATGGGGGCTGAAACTCCCCCAGACTCACGACAAACTCGTCAAGACTTTACCTGTAGCTCCCAAAAATAACAGGAAACTTAAACGCACCATCTGTGTTTCAACAAAACACCCCAAAAAACCTGTAGCTGTCCCAACAACTCATGAGGAAAACTCTGAACTGTCTGATTTCCTCCCCGCAG